TGATAGATGATATATGGATTTCATGCCAATTTATTTTTTTCTGAGTATATTCGATCAGTGTGGATGTAACCTTGAATTGCTTCTAGAAATTATCAAATATAACTCGCCACATTTTAATATAATGACGGGTATAAAGGCATTTGTATTGCTTGTTCATTATCTTACAACAAATGCGAATGAAAATTGATTTATAATTGTTATTTTACATAATTGTTTTTTTTTAACTGGTAGGCTTATCATATGAAAGCTACAGAACGCACCTAACTGTGACTTAACTTTTAATTTGAGTGACATATACAATTAATGCATATAATTATATGTTTTAGTCACTAATATACACTGTGAATGTGACGACTAATTGATTAAATGACAGGTCTTTTGTAAGTTTAACACTAAGTGCCTATCATGATAACGACAGCACTGAAATATAATCAATTTCCTTCCAAAATATTGACGTTAGAGATTCATAACACTATTAGTATACGGTTTTTGTAATTCAATGTACAATAATACGGTGTGCACATCAACCTGTGGCAGACTGCTAATATAATTCCTATTGACGACAAATTCACAACTTCTGTTGAGCCTGTACATGTAGCTCAGTTATTAACATGTATTTGTTGGAAGTAATGTTTCGCACCAATAGAAGGACTGCAAAATTAAACTGTTTTGGTCAAAATGAAAAATGGCCACCACTAGATTGTAAATCCTATGATGGGCTATCGTTTACACTTTACAAAATAATGCCACTACACAACGTATACAACCAGATAATCATCTATACAAGTTATAATTCTATCATTGCAACGTTTTACTATTCAGATTTTGTCAGATACAGACAGATAGACATATAGTATAAGATGAGTAATAAGGGTATTTGCAATGAACAATTGAGCTCGAAGAAATGACCACGGCACTATTTGGATAACCATAAGTTATATATGCATGTTGTGATGTGTCTACTTTTCAAAGAGTATGCGTATACTGTTCTTCCGCTGGGGTCTTCCAGACGGTAAGGCGTATAGATTATAATGAGCAGAATGTTGCTCGCTGAATCAGATTAGGAAGAGATCATTTTTGTGAACATTGAGCAAAATTATCTCCTAAAACAAATTAAGGGTTAACAATTTGAATTAGAGGAATTTGTTCACGCACATATATAATTTATGCAGAAATTGTTGTTTATACTTTAGCCGTTATTTATTTGTATACAACATTTTAAAAAAACATACCGACTTTCAAATAAAATTATTTAATATCATCTAGCACTTCCATCTTTAATAGGATTTTTTGGGTAATAAATTGTTGGTGATTTGCAAAGTTTTGCTCACCGAGTTTTGCTCACCATTGCCCCCTTCCAATAGCTTACCTGTTATGTGCTGCGTTTACACTCAGACAACTAATAAAGTTATTAGTTGTCTGATGTTTGAATGACATCATTCTATCGGGCCAAACTACTGCCCCTCCAACCAATTAACAGGAGATTATCTCCAATGCGTTAACATGATCGGGTCAAACGCGAGTCGAGATCCACCCGAGTTCAATCCAGTTATTTCAGGGCCGATCATAACAGCGTCCTCAATTACTTATAAAAACAACATGGCTGAAAACAATTTTTGGGTCGTGCTTATGGCACGATGCATATCAAGAAGAAAAGAAAAAGTCATGAGTGTGAGACAATGCACTAGTGTTATGATTTAGATATCTCGAATAAACAGGATACACGGTAGCTAAAATACGCTAAATGTGTTACTTCCTATTCACAGAAGTTATTGTCATGCAAATTGACCATCTTGTAATGTGTAGCAGTTGTCAACCTAAACCTAGTAGGAACACGTCGCCGTACCGTGACCGCTTCTACGTTTTTTTTTTTTTTTATCTTCGGTGTCTTCAAAATTCTTCAATTTCCATTTGATCTGTTCAGTCGTCCTTTTAAGTTTGTTTTTTTCGCATATTTTCGTATGCCCTTTTTCTGTTTCCCGTAGAACTATCAATCTATCGCAGTATTTCTTTACTCTGCCAAATAGATATTAGGGCGCGTACCGCCATAATTGAAATGAGAGGTTACTTGAAAAAGACGAGTGATGGCGTTATTTCGGACCGATACGTAGGCCCCGATGCGTATACAAGGTCGGAGCCATTTGGGACACAAATCCTATCGGAGTTCAAGCCCTAGGGTTTATTCGAGTGGAACTTGCCTCGAGCCGAACGCGTAGACACGGTCATTTTAGCTGGCTCGAACTAGGGCTCCGATAAAATGCTGTCGTGTAAACGTAGTTTTTTTTGCCCCGAGGGTTTATTGGAGCTGAACTTGGCTCGAGCCATGTCGAACTGAACGCATATACATTTTGGCTGGCAAATGTAGCAATGGTGTTCACCCACGGTGTTAGCAGGCATTATATAGCTTCTTATATATTTTGTTAATCTCATAATTGGTGGAGTTGTGCAAGGGTCTTTGTATTCGGAATTGCCTTCTTTAATTTATTGCTCCTAGTTCTAAAGTTCCGCCATTAATTTTATGTTAGTAGCTTTCTATATTTTTATTCAATGACAAATTCTGTAGTAACTGTTGTCGATTTCTTTGACTGGCTGACCGAAGATTTCAAGGATGAGAAGCTATTTGGATATCATGCTTACAATGGGGGCACATTTCATTACATAAATTTTTATGTTCGAATCTCCGACATCATTGCTGTGCAGGTGACTGATATCCACACCATTAAAATATTATTCTCTGCAGTCTTAACTGCGTAACAAGTCTGCTCTGGGAACAATAGGGTCACGTGTGTATCACGTGGTAAACGATTTAGTAACGCCGATCCCACCAGACATGTATGGCAGTTATTTCACCAGAAGTTCGTCATCCATTTAACGTGACTTATTTTTTTTTTATTTGTAATCATGTGAGTGACAACGCGCCGCCCTTGCTGTGCTAGCCTAGAATAAAGCAAAGTAGGGTGACGTAGTAGACGGCGGCATGAGTGACGAACAGATGGTACAGGTTTACCAACTACAAGTAGAAAGTCTTAGAAACTTATCTGACAATTAGTCAGGCTAATGACAATAAGAATCTACTAATATTACTATAATATTGATTCTATAATCATGTACAGAGAATTTAATAACGTTGGTATCATTTTCAAAAATCAATCGCAGTAACATGTTAATTAAATTCAAAATAACATTACGTCCAATACCCAATGAAATGGCAGTAAACATGTTACAAACATGCAAAAAACATGTTTATTAACTTCTCGAATCATACGTATTCCAGTAAATATCGCATGAACGTTACAGTTGTATTTTCGATTCAGTGTCAGTGGTGGTAGTGGTGCTAACAGTTTTACGCATGCGTGTTGGCAATATATTGCAGACTTCAATTGATGATCAGCCGGTTATATTTTACAATCATAGTAACATGCACAACAGTTTATTGTGTCTGAGTTATGGAACCGGTGTGTCGGGTCAATTGTATTGGCCATACTATTCCCCTGTGAATATATTGCACTATGTTAATGAATGTTATTCCATAGTCCTATTATGTATGTTGAGGGGCCGTACACGATATATAGGCAATTATAAGAAGGTTTTAAGAGTATTAGGAGTTTGTTAAATTCAATATGTTGTAGCTAGAACATGTTCATTTGAAGGTATTTGGATACGATATATGTCACAAGCATGAGTTTTATTTCTACCAACATTTTTTGTAACCCTTTTCATAATTGATATGTTCATAGCATGAACGCAACAGCAATTAAACAGTTTTTATTTAGTAAGAGATATGACATTCGAGTTATTTCTGGAAATATGACTCTCTATACATAGCCACGGTTCACACGTATCTGAGCTTGCTGGTACTGCCAGAAAGAATATTGAATAATGTCGTGGTGGTGGTAAATTAAAAGACTATATTAAATGTAAATTTCAAATTCTAGCGATACTATTTCACGCCCTTTGGTGATATTCCTGAACACTGTATGGTAGAAAATAAATTTCACAATGCATGGATGGTTATTGGCATTAAACACAACAGTGCATACGGTTTATCATATCGCAAGAGACTGCGCGTTCATTTTTTTTTGTATATTAAAAAAATATTTCTAGTCGGGTCATTGCAATATAATAACAGAATGATTGTCAACAACCTATGGAAAATGTAATAATATAAACCATAACGTTATTTGTGTTTTTATCACCCTTATAAATGCCGAGTTATATTGCGGGGTATCGTTTACACTTTGCATAATAATGCCACTTTCCAACGCATACAATCAGTTAATCATGTAATGGCTGAGCAACCTCAGTTATTTAAATTGTTTAAAATAAATATTTAATTTTAATACGACAGTTTTGTTTCTTCATTGCAACATTTAACTGGTCGCACTTCATTGTATGTGTTAAAAAACACACTCAATCTAAACTTCAGTGTTATTTAGTTTTCGTATTGTAGCCAATAGTACTATGCTGTTGTACCCATAGTGACTACTTTCAATAAACGCAGTAAAACACATGTTCAGAATATAACGCTTGGTTAAATGTGACAACGTTGAATAATTGCTACTATTTTGATCATATTTAAATCTATTTATAGTTTATCAAGTATACGACCATATTTATTGTATATACACGCATATGACAATATATAACTAAATCGATTTATGATTGTGTCTGCGTCATGTTCCATCGCCTTTAATAAACTTGAAGCATATCTTACCCTTTGACCTTACTGTCATTGAGTGAGTTCAAACAAATATACATATAAATACTGTTAGAACCGGAAACTACGGACCAAATCTGAATATCATGTTTATTGTACAAACACAGAGACATTCAAATAATGCGGCTGCTCTAATACACTACACTACACTACACTACACTACACTACACTACACTACACTACACTACACTACACTACACTACACTACACTACACTTGAACAATTATTACTTGAACAATAATTATTTATATTACGACAGTCCTCTTGGTACATTGTGTTATAGGTCAATGCACTATTGGTGAAACTACATGCAACGATGACAATGGGATGGTTTGTTATGATGAAATCTGCGATAATTCCAATGATTGCCAGGATACATCAGATGAAACGACTAGTAGCTGTATTTGGAAAGGTAGGAAACCATGGCAACATCAATGCCGTGATGCAAAGGTGCCAGGCCTTCCACACGAACGTCTTACCGTGTTAAACACAGTACGGAGAATAAAATTCGTTTTAGAAAACGTTATGAGACCAATAAAACCAAATTATAATTGGTGGAGATAACAAATACCAAACTAACAGTACTCTTAGCTTTCTAAATATAATTTATGCTGAGATTTTCTCGAGTTGTTATTTTATTTAAAAATCAACTTTAGTGTGATCATGAGCGTTTCCACATTACACTATTTGTACATTTAAAAAACAACGACAGATACTGAGAATACTCCATCAGTGGCGGTGGCACGACATTTTACATGGGGGCGAGACCTGCTCACCAACCTCGCCACTTATATAAGGGATCCGGGAGCATGCTCCCCCATAAAAATTTGAAATCTGCAACCTCTGAACGCTATTTCTTGCATTTTGAGGGGCTAATTTTGCTAACACATAGGGTTTTAGCTTGACTTTGGAAGGGCCCCTCTGCCCCCTTGTACCACCGCGGCCACTGTCCATTTATAAAAGACGTGACATCTCACAATAATGCGGTACTGTCTGTGAGCGAGTTTCGTTTCTCTTTTCTGAAGGTACATTTATTGCGGAAATAATAGCTTGAGTAAGATATTCGATTACTTCATAAAATAAAACTTACAGTGGACCCGGTTAAGATTACGGAACTCGTATGTTCTAAACAGAAACAAATAAGTCGGCTATTGCCATGATAGTCACTCTAACTATACTATTACGGAACTGTTCTTGTATTCAAATTCAAATAGAACAATGTCTGTCGACATAAACTGAATATTGATCACAACCGCTCATGCTATCTCACAGTAGGATATTAGTTTTGATGAACTTAAAGCGGGGGAGTCGTCACCTGCGCATGCATCAGATGGCCATAGCGTGTCATTGTTTACAAACAAGCGTCTACCCGTGAGCCTTTGCGTCCGAAAACGGGGACTAATAATTCGGTCTCCGTCCGTGCATCCGTGCGTCCGTGCGTCTGTGTGTCCGTGCGTCCGTCCGGAGTCATATCTCAGAATCCCTTGGACCGATTCTGTTTATTCTTTGCATGTGCCTAGTACTTTATGTGGGATATATGCACATGCAGTGGTTTAGCAATTCGATTCAAAATGGCCGACTGGCAGCCATCTTGTTTTTTGAAAATGTTGTATTTGGACATGCTTTGTCAGTTTTCATTCAAACTTGGTACATAGATTATACATGTTAGGATACATGTCCATGACGATTTATTTCACAATTGGATCAAAGATGGCCGACTGGCAGCCATCTTGTTTTTTGAAAATGTTATATTTTGGTTATACTTTGTCAGTTTCCATTCAAATTTAGTACATAGATCATACATGTTAAGATACATGTCCCCGACCGTCCGTGAGTTCCTGAATCTGTCCGTCCGTCCGTCCGTGTGTCCGTCCGTGCGCCAGTCTGTCCAGAGTCATATTTCAGAATCCTGTGGACCGATTCCGTACATTCTTTGCATGTGCCTAGTACCTTATGTGGGACATATGCACATAAAGTTGTTTAGCGATTCGATTCAAAATGGTCAACTGGCAGCCATCTTGTTTTTTGAAAATGTTGTATTTTGGACATGCTTTGTCAGTTGTCATTCAAACTTGGTACATAGATTATACATGTTAGGATACATGTCCATGACGATTTATTTCGCAATTGGATCGAAGACTGGCAGGCATCTTGTTGTTGTTGGTTTTTATGCGGTATCTTGGACATGCTCTGTCAGTTTTCATTCAAATTTGGCACATACATGTACTTTATACATGTTAGGATGCATGTCCATGACAATTTGTTTCAAAATCTGGTCAAGAATGGCTGATTGACAGCCTTCTGACTTTTTGGTCTTACTACTATATTTCCACAATTTATGTACGATTTTCATTCGTATTTGGCGCATACATCATACATATCAGTGTGTTTCATATTCAGATCAAATATGGCCAAATAACGGCTGTTTTTATTTTTGGCCATATTACTACTACACGGAACACGTGTTTTGATGTAAATAAACAATCTGTTGTATACGCCACTTGAAACTCAAGTTGTAAGGACACGCTCGCGACAACCCCTCTGCTTTAATATGACGAGCACAAAGAGAACTTTCAAAAAATTAACGGGAACTGTGTCATTTTCAAAGACTTGTTAGCGTGTGTTGCTATCGTCGCTTGGGACTCAATTCCCGCGCGTGCGCAGGTGACGACCATTCCGCTTTAACACAGAACCACTTTATTGTTACTTTTATTTTCAGGATTGCTTAAAATCGAGTACAACTTCACCATATGGGTAGAACACGTCAACGATGGCCACAACCAGTTCAGTCAATTCTTCGGTAGGCTGGTAGGGGATACCACTTCCATACAGTTGACAGAAGAGATTGATGAAGATATTTATACGTTTGCTATTGATCATAACATTAAGGCCATATTTTACGCAGACTCAAAACACAAACAGATCAAACAAATTCGGTATGATAAATTACCTAGAGTGAAAACTATTTACACTGGAACATCTAGTAAAGTAACAGATATTGATATTGACATAATATCGCATAATGTATATTGGATAGATGACCAGTACAATGCCATTGTTATATTAGATTATGAAGGAACATATCATCGACAAATAATAACGGGATTAGATAAACCAATAGGATTAGCTATTGATTCGTATCACGGGTAAGTCTATATTCATGTTATACTATACAAAAATGGGCTTCGCAAAAAATGGGCGGTGAAGCGATTTTCTTTTTTAATATTTGAATGGGTACATTTTTGCAGGCTTCATCAATCCTTCAAAAGAGGGCACTGTGCAGTGGCAAAATAAGTGAAAACAAATGGATCGGTCAGCCTTTTTGGATGCACGCTGGCCAGAACCATTGTTAGGTCTAGTATAAGCCAAGAATGTGTTGAATGGCCGATTTATGCAATATTTGACAAAAGGTTTCACCCACACCCGTGAGTCCTTCAATCCGTCTATCCCTCCATCTATATCGGCTCGAACATCAAGATATATTGGACAAACTCTTCATTCCTGACTAACCATGAATAATTTCAATCATTCTGAATTACAACCTACAATGGTACACTAGACACAAAATTATTTCTCAGAAGGCACATCAGGGATTATCTCAAACTTACCTTACAACACATGCCAACATTTGAAATGGTTCAACCTGTGAATGCAGTGGTCATTATAAGTATTAGGATATATTATAATTAGTGGCATTTGTGCAGTAAGTAGGATGCCCGCACTCACATTTTTGTCCGAGACAGAATGGCGAGTGTGAGAAATGTTATCTAAGTGGGATAGTTTTTCTCACATTACCACACAACACGTTAGAAAAACAATTATTGATGTGTGCCTAGAGTAATTGCAAAGCGGCTCAAATTAGTCATACAAACTAGTATAAACAAATACATATTTACTCTAGCGGCTGACAAAAGCAAGACTCTCGAGGTTCCACGCGCGCGGGTACGTGACGAAGCCTGTAGTGCCATCGGCCAGGGATGTGAGGCAAATAATATCAGTACTCGTACATTCATTCACTGGCTTTATTACACTGTATTATATCTCCCATTAGCCACGTATACTGGAGTGACTGTAGTGACAGTACTCCGAGAATTGAAAGGTGCACGTTGTCAGGGGATGGCAGAGAGACATTTTACAACATCACATCAGGATGTCCTACGGGAATTACAGTTCATAACGACAGGTGTGTATTCTAGAATCTGTCGAACATTATAAAGTAAACATGTAAGAACGGATTATTTGTAATTTCTTGGTATTATGGTATTTCAGGTTATTTTATTTAGATACTATTAACCATCATCTGATCGAACTAAATCTATATAGCGATGCTGATCCTGTGGTGATTTGGAAGGACACAAACACGCCTGAGATGTCATTGAGGGATGTAGCTGTATCTGTGGTGAGTCGGAGACAATTACGAATAAGGGTTAACGTTGAAATGTGGTATTTAGGGGATAGATACTCGTTTTTTGTGCTCACTTAACGCATATAACAATGACATTACAGGTTTGGTATTAAAATTATGTATTCTATTTTTCTCACTGTTAATATACAATAATAACATTTAACAGCAGTTTGTATAGATTTGTGTTTACATCCGATTAAAATTACTCACTCGAGCGTGACATCTACAAGTAAATTGTGAGACATCAATCATTCCCACTTTATTCCTAGGGGGACAATATTCTTACCAGTCATAACAATGAAAAGGTTCTGCAAATTCATACCATTTTGTTTCTTTATTCTGGTTAAATCAAACAGTATTATGAATGAAAGAGTACGACAATTATCATTCGTGAATTCGTGTTATTGGACGCTGAACACACTAGTGTAGAATAACAATAGTACCGATGATATACCCACCATGGTTGTTGGCAATGATATACCACCATGGTTGATGGCAATGATATACCCACCATGGTTGATGGCAATGATATACCCATCATGGTTGATGGCAATGATATACCCACCATGGTTGTTGGCAATGATATACCCACCATGGTTGATGGCAATGATATACCCACCATGGTTGATGGCAATGATATACCCACCATGGTTGATGGCAATGATATACCCACCATGATTGATGGCAATGATATACCCACCATGGTTGATGACAATGGTATACCGACCATGGTTGATGGCAATGGTATACCCACCATGGTTGATGGCAATGATATACCCACCATGGTTATGACAGTGATATACCCACCATGGTTGTTGGCAATGATATACCCACCATGGTTGATGGCAATGATATACCCACCATGGTTATGACAGTGATATACCCACCATGGTTGATGGCAATGATATACCCACCATGGTTGATGGCAATAGTATACCCACCATGGTTATGACAGTGATATACCCACCATGGTTGATGGCAATGATATACCCACCATGGTTGATGGCAATGATATACCCACCATGGTTGATGGCAATGATATACCCACCATGGTTATGACAATGATATACCCACCATGGTTGATGGCAATGGTATACCCACCATGGTTATGACAGTGATATACCCACCATGGTTATGACAGTGATATACCCACCATGGTTGATGGCAATGATATACCCACCATGGTTGATGGCAATGATATACCCACCATGATTGATGGCAATGATATATCCACCATGGTTGATGACAATGATATACCGACCATGGTTGATGGCAATGGTATACCCACCATGGTTGATGGCAATGATATACCCACCATGGTTATGACAGTGATATACCCATCATGGTTGATGGCAATGATATACCCACCATGGTTGATGGCAATGATATACCCACCATGGTTATGACAGTGATATACCCACCATGGTTGATGGCAATGGTATACCCACCATGGTTATGACAGTGATATACCCACCATGGTTATGACAGTGATATACCCACCATGGTTGATGGCAATGATATACCCACCATGGTTGATGGCAATGATATACCCACCATGGTTATGACAATGATATACCCACCATGGTTGATGGCAATGGTATACCCACCATGGTTATGACAATGATATACCCACCATGGATGATGACAATGATATACCTTCATGGGTGATGGGAAAGATATACCAACCATGGTTGATGGCAATGATATACCCACCATGGTTGATGGCAATGATATACCAACCATGGTTGATGGCAATGATATACCCACCATGGTTGATGGCAATGATATACCCACCATGGTCGACGGCAATGATATGCCCACCATGGTTGATGGCAATGATATACCCACCATGGATGATGGCAATGATATACCCACCATGGTTAATGACAATGATATACCCACCATGGTTGATGGCAATGATATAACCACCATGGTTGATGCCAATGATATACCCACTATGGATGATGGCAATGATATACCCACCATGGTCGATGGCAATGATATGCCCACTATGTTCGATGGCAATGATATACCCACCATAGATGATGGCGATGATATACCCACCATGGTTTTGTGACAATGATATACCTACCATGGTTACAACGATATACCCTCCTTGGTTATGTGACAATGATATACCCACCATGGTTACGACAATAATATACCCACCATTGTTGATGGCAATGATATACCCACCATGGTTACGACAATAATATACCCACCATTGTTGATGGCAATGATATTCCCACCATGGATGCTGGCAACGATATACCCTCCTTGGTTATGTGACAATGATATACCTACCATGTTACGACAATGATATACCCACCATTGTTGATGGCAATGATATACCCACCATGGTTACGACAATGATATACCCACCATTGTTGATGGCAATGATATACCCACCATGGATGCTGGCAACGATATACCCTCCATGGTTGATTGCAATGGTATACCCACCATGGATGATGGCAATGACATACCCGCCATGGATGATGACAATGATATACCCACCATGATTGATGACAATGATATACCCACCATGATTGATGGCAATGATATACCCACCATGGTTGATGGCAATGATATACCAACCATGGTTGATGGCAATGATATACCCACCACGGTTGATGGCAATGATATACCCACCACGGTTGATGGCAATGATATACCAACCATAGTTGATGGCAATGATATACCCACCACGGTTGATGGCAATGATATACCAACCATGGATGATGGCAATGATATACCCACTATGGATGATGGCAATGATATACCCACCATGGTCGATGGCAATGATATGCCCACCATGGTTGATGGCAATGATATATCCACCATGGATGATGGCAATGATATACCACCAGGGATGATGGCAACAATATATCCACCATGGTTGATAACAAGGATATACCAACCATGGTTGATGGCAATGATATACCTTCATGGGTGATGGGAAAGATATACCACCATGAGTGATAGCAATGGTATGCCCGTCATGATTGGTGGAAATGATATACCCGCCGTGGTTGATGGAATTGATATACCCACCATTGATGATGGCAATGATATACCCACCATGTTTGATGGCAATGACATGCCAACCATGGATGATGGCAATGATATACCTTCATGGATGATGGAAAGATATACCCACCATGGTTGATGGCATTGATATACCAACCATGGATGATGGCAATAATATACCAACCATAGGTGATGGCAATGATATGCCTTCATGGGTGATGGCAATGATATACCCACCATGGTTGATGGCAATAGTATACCAACCATGGTTGGTGGCAATGATATACCAACCATGGATGATGGCAATGATATACCAACCATGGGTGATGGCAATAATATACCAACCATGGTTGATGGCAATGATATACCAACCATGGTTGGTGGCAATGGTATACCAACCATGGATGATGGCATTAATATACCAACCATGGTTGGTGGCAATGATATACCTTTATGGATGATGGCAATGATATACCAACCATGGGTGATGGCAATGATATACCCACCATGGGTGATGGCAATGATATACCAACCATGGATGATGGCAATAATATACCAACCATGGTTGGTGGCAATGATATACCTTTATGGATGATGGCAATGATATACCAACCATGGGTGATGGCAATGATATACCCACCATGGGTGATGGCAATGATATACCAACCATGGATGATGGCAATAATATACCAACCATGGTTGGTGGCAATGATATACCTTTATGGATGATGGCAATGATATACCAACCATGGGTGATGGCAATGATATACCCACCATGGGTGATGGCAATGATATACCCACCATGGTTGATAGCAATAATATACCAACCATGGATGATGGCAATAATATACCAACCATGGTTGGTGGCAATGATATACCCACCATGGGTGATGGCAATAATATACCAACCATGGTTGATAGCAATAATATACCAACCATGGGTGATGGCAATGATGTACCCACCATGGTTGATAGTAATAATATACCAACCATGGGTGATAGCAATGATATACCTTCATGGATGATGGGGAAAATATATCCATCATGAGTGATGGCATCAATATAAACACAATAGAAGATGGCAATGGCACTATGTCAACAATGAATGATAACAATGATATATGGCTTATGATATACACACCATGGTTGTGGCAGTGACTCCACGGATGATAGCAATGGCAACATTATTGGTGCAGAGGCGGCTGTACGAAACGTTGCATTAAGGAGCGAGATCTGCTCACCAACCTTGCGCCAAAGGCGCAACCTTACTAAATATAGACCCTCTAAAACGGTATTTCCTGCATTTTGAGGGGCAAATTTCGCTGACACATGGGGTTTCAGCTTGATTTTGGAAGAGCGATGCCCCCAACATTTTTTTCGAGGCGGCTAATGTCCCTCTGCCCGCCACTGTGGTGACAATGATACAATCACCATAGGATGTGGCTAAGGTATATGAAATATAATCGCATAATTGTAATTATCTGATTATTATACTGATAAATGGTACAATTTAACTAGCCTTAGACTATGTGCTTGTCCCGGCAATACATGTTTGTCGTAGAAACGTATGTGTTGATATAGAGAAACTTATATATAACCAATAAGTGGTTGTTCGAAAATCCATGTGTGGTTAGCTGTCTGGGGGAACTCATAAGTGTTTTGTTTTTTTTTCGAAAAAAATACGTGTTGTTGTCTAAGAAACCCATGTTTGATTGGTTGTCTGAGACAAACCAGACGTGGTTTTCTGGAGCAATCCATAATTTAGACTGTGGTGTAAGTAATAACATTCTCGTATAATGCTAACCACAGGGAATAAATAGAACTGGAATATAAAGTGAGGGCTGTGTTAATATCGTTTATCTGAATAAAATAACATAACGACAGTGATGGGATTTAATGATATAGCTATATAGTATTTGAACTTGTTGGACGTTGTTCTTATTAATTGATGAACTCGTGTTTTTGTTTTTTTCTTTTTTTAACAGACTAGTTATATCTTAACTAATTCCGCCAACAAAGAAATAATAGAAAAAGGCGGCGAGTTATTAATTAAAAGCACAAATGGTACACCGTACGCTATCCAGTATATTTCACCACAGGACTTTACTGACGGTAAATTATCATCACTATTATTGCTTTGTTCACACGGCGTTTTCCTTCGTTTGTTTACTAATTTATTTGATAAGTATAATTCATGTTTTATAACTACTTGTCTTACATTCTAGATTCGTGTTCAAATTCCTCATGTGATCAGCTATGCACTATAGACGTGAGCGCCCCGCAGTGTTTATGTGGACAAGGCTACGACCTAATCATCGATATCTACTCGACTAGCTGCCAACCAGGTGAGAATAGCGATATGTTATTTTGGTGTTGTAAGGGAGAAGTGAATATCGTGTAGTCAAACTTGACTCAGATGAACGAAGCTACATAAACCGTGTCACATTGTGTTTTCTTCACAGACGAAATGATTATCTCACGTTCGGAGTTCATCTTGGCAAACGACACCCACATACTGGGTTTACCGGGCAACTTCATCGATATACAGCCAGCTAATTACCTAATACATTCGATAAGTAAGACTGCTAGAGTCACGGCAATTGACTTCAATTGGTCGCTAAAGACGTTATATTATTCAACTCAGCGCGGTGTTTATAGTCTGTTATTGGATAAAGGGCATCAACCTTTAAGGATCAATAACGACGAGACAGTCAAAGGTTTGCATTACAGTGTTTTACAAATAAATAGGAATTATTATTCCATGTGAAGTAATATGAATGATATTGAAACCATGACAACTGTTTCCAGAGAATCATGTGTGATCTGTACACTAATTGTCGCTTCTTGAGACTGTTTTATTCGAAGTTCACGTTGATACATACGACAAAGTAGGATTTACAGTACAGTGCTATGCTATAAGTGTTTGTTGTCCTACAGTGCATATAAAACAAATGGCATGAAATTTAAATTAAATATCATTGCACTGCGTCTAACAACGTGAACAGACACGTCTTGTATTTGCATATATGTGTTTTACATAATTAATAATTAATCGGTGTAGTCAGTCATGGAAGGATGCCGTCCATGATCACATACTGTGAGTAGGTTTGGAATACAGAGTGCTAGTAATTACTTATCCTATGTAACTGACGAGTGCATATAATTATACATGCAAAAATAATTCAATATATTCTGTCCAGCTCTCGCAGTGGACTGGTATTCAGGCAATGTATATTACGTGGGTGAAGAAGGTATAACAGTTTCAACCCATGATGGCGCTGTTTTCGAAGCACTTGAATCCATTGACCTGCTTGTGACAGATATAGCTGTTCATCCTGGTCAGATGTAAGTCTGTAGATCACTCTTATTTGTATTGACAATATAAGACCCCTGGAGCAATACATGCAGTACTGCATATTGTTCTCTGTAAATTGATTGCGCACACATTATTTTATGCTGTTTCATGGATTTCTCTTTAGGTCGTTATTTGTTAGTAGTTGGGATGAAGACCGGGGTAAAATACTCAAAACGTATCTTGATGGAAGTAATCAAACTGTACTATACGAAAACTCCAATATGAAACCGGTCGCAATCACCGCTAACTATAACTTTGAAAGGTTTGAATATTATATATATATTACCATTATCGTGCCCACGTGCGTTATTAATATTCAATAATTGCGCTGGAAAGTCGTGCATGTTTTATACAATTGCAATGTATTGATCTTTCACAGATTGTATTGGTATGATGTGATCAGTAAGCGAATCATGTCGATCGATTTTTATGGAAATGACGTCCATATGGCAGACCCACTAGGAATATCGTTTACTGATATCACTTTATTTCAGGTAAGAATGACATTGGTAATTCCTGCTTTCAGTGTACTATTAGTCGTACGAAGACGCATGCAATGGGGTCACCATAATTCCGTTTGGCCACTGATGTTTACGCGACGCGGATATTATAGAGACAGACTAGTCTAAATTTTGCATAATCGTTCTCTAATTGTTTTCCAACCTAAGTCATTTGTTTAATATATTCACCGGTCAAATCAGGTATTTTTCCCCAAAGCGTATCACCACGGGTAACTAACAATCCGGTACAAAATTCCGACTATTTTATTTTATTTCCCCTCATAGATGCTCTAATGTCAGTTTTAACATGATGGCGCTGTTTTGTCTTTACATATATAGTATGTCAATGCACTGTATGCATGATATGTGCCATTGTTCATACTCGATAAACAATGAAATACATGTAACGACATTATTGAAATAATTGTTGTTGTTTTTATTTCTGATTGTACATGTCTAATTTAACAAATAATCAAAACACAACCCTGACATTGAATCTGATATCGAAAAGTTGTAATTTACAAATTGGGTTTTTGAGAAGTTTGTTATGCTCCGAAAAGTATGATAGTACGTTCAGTTCCATGCAGTGGTGTGGAAAACATTTCGAATGTTTTTCAAGGCGAGAAAATTGAGAGAAAAATTAATTGTCGTTAAATGTAATTGTCACATTGATATTTGATCACCACCGTACGTGACCTCCGAACAATTCCGTACGCGTGAATGTAAGGAATTTAGCGCGTCTCGGAAAGCAGGAGTTAAAATGCGTGATGTGATCGAACCGCGTTGTGTTCAATATGGCGTTCTATTTCAGTACTATTTTAGTGAATGGTTGCGCAGGCGAGTATTTTAATTTTTGTCAAGTAATCCTCTAAATTTTTTCAAGAGTTAATAATTTCATGTATTTAGTATACAGAACTAACTCAAACATGATGAACTATTACATCTGAAACGATACTGTGATCGGTGTTTTTTTCACCTGCAAACGTCATTTCAATGAGCGAGATTTATTGAATAGATTCATGGAAATTTGAACATAAAAAAACATGTGCACAATAAACAAAGAGTGTATAACTAGTCGCCTGTAGTGAGTGCGACCACATAACGTTGGACTAATGTGAGGTTATTCAGGGGTACCAATGAAAGTGTAGTTTTTTAATGAAAATCACAGCTTTGACACCGTGTAGCATAGCTTGGTCAGGAAAAGCTTAGCTGCAGGAATGAAATCCGCTAGTTTTGACATCGAGAACTCAAGCTTTGAACATATTTTGATGTTGAGGGCGTACACAACATGGCTGCCTCCAAAAGCAGCGTTAGCGACGGTAAGTATTTTACTCGTTTTCTCAACAAAATCACCAAGTTATGCTGTGTAATATGCCGCGATCAGTGAGGTTCAGGTTCAATTTTATTTCTAGAAAGTTTCAGTCACCATTTTACAAAACTTGCAGAGAAATCTCAATTCCAATTTTCGAAGCGAACGGGCTAGCAGGACGTCCTATTCTTATACATGTACTTATACATGACAGTGTAAAGACGTGGTGGCTAGCGCATAAATAATGAAAGGAAGAGA